GTCTGCCCCATACACGGCCGAAATGATTTGCATAAATGTGGCAAATATTTAATATCCATATTTGACTTGTGCTCAGGATCCTTAATGGTTTTTGGTTATTTGCAGGGTTTGGAATCTTCCGTATGCCTCTCGCGAGGAGATGTCGTCACAGAACTGCGTGGAAGAATTATGCTTATGGAGGAATATGAACACTACGTGGATCCGACCGCCGAGTAAGTAAATTAAAATACTCTTTACGAGGATACATCCATTTGTTATTAATTTTATTTAGCAAGGGGTCGTGTTCGAGTCAACCTCGGTGCTGTTGTGGTGTTTGAAGGGAAATTATAGCGATACGGTGCCTAATAAACCACCTTCATGATACCAACGTAGCATTCTACACTTGAGGTGTCTATTAATCTTATTCAGACCGCGTAAATCGCGCAGGCCCGATGCGCAGTAATTCAAAAACCCGCATTGGTCAACTCTTTGGATACATAAGAACCTTACGTCTGTTGGTCTTTCTAGTTACTTTTTTATCCGAACTCTATTTTACCATCCTTTACTTGCGGGATTTGCGCCTTACTAGCTGAAGGCGGCGCAGCGCGCTGTTCAAAGTGCATTATCTTAGAATCCGCTTGCAAACGTCCATACAATCGAACATCGCAATGACGTCCAATCTGCGCGTACTTTTGTTTTGAGCTGTTAGAGATTAGCCTTAAGGCTGTTACCTCAGTTTCATTATTAAAATAAGCTTGAAGGTTGTTATTGCCGCACGCGTCTTGATTCCACAACGATGTTATAGTGTTTTTATTCCCATCTTTAGCTATTGCACTTTTAATACTATGTTGTCCTTTTTCTCCCGGCACAAAGGTACAATCGTTACGTCATTTTGTACAACGATTTTGGTGATACCGGGGTTGCCATTGATGCAACTCAGTTTGGTAACGATGCTCGCTTCATTCGGCGTTCATGTACACCCAACTGCAAGGTAGGCCTTACATTTACTAACTTTCTGTAGACTACATGTCTTCTGGTGTTCGCACGACATACCTAGTACTTGCCTGCTGCCCGTTTGGTTTTTGTGATATGTTTGAAGCACCGCCTGGTTGCTTGAATCCCCCAAATTTTCATACGATACGGTTTCCCGTAATACAGAACATCTAAACTACGTATGGATAACCTTGCTTTTCCTAAGAGGATTATTTTTTCAAGGCTAGAGCCCTCGTTCGTGTGATTTTTTTCTCCCGTGGTGATCTCAATTCATTCGTAAATTTTAATTTGTACCTTTGCTGCCAATTTATTTGTCTTATTCTGTTGTAGCTCGACCATTTCATCGTTTGTGGCAAGATGCACATAGTTATTCGGACGATCCAAACTATTTCACCGGGTGTGGAATTAACTATCCCCTTCGATGTGGATTACAAATCCTGTCGCTACCCACTGGACTGCGCCTGCGCACGTTCACGATGTCCTGTCCTCAAGTGGCGACGCAAATTAGTCCGCAACAAGGTCATGCCAAACCTCGATTACAGCAAGTGTATCAATTCCAAGCTAAAGGAGTATGTTCCCCTCACAACTCTTTTATTGACCGCTGCTTTACCTTTCCTTTTAAGTATTTTCGCTTTCTCGAAAATTACAAGTTTTGACTCTTAGGCACGTTTATGGATTGATACACTGTTTTTTAAAAGCATATTTTCCCAGGTGCAAACATGAGGATCGCATAAACAGCAGAATTAAGTGCATCCATGAATTTCTAGAGTGATCATCAGCTGGTACCTCTCGCTGCGTAATGCAGAAATTCCCTGCGAATTCAATTTTTTCATTTTCTCGTACATTACTCTTATCATGCAGCGAGAGGTAGCAGCTGATGAGTACTCTCGAAATCCAGGAATCCATTAAATTCTGTTGTTTATACCATCTTCAATCTTTTGTATTTTGAACACTAGTAAAGAAGAGAGACTCGGACACGTAACCGTGGATAAGGGATGAATTTGCGATGCACCTGATCAATACTTGATTTTACGACATTGCTAGTGTCTTCTTGAAAACAGTTCATTCTCATGGGCGGGCCAACTGGAAAGGGTGCAGGGAGACTGCATTTGTACGTAGTTTATTCATGCTGTCTTCAGTCACACGCACTCCGCACATACGGATGTGGTTAACCGAAGGGGCACAGTGCCATAAGACTCGTTTTTTTGGTGACTCACTACTCAGTCGTCAAGGTACATTAGGACTGAACTTCGGGACCCTATCAATAGCATTGGCAGATACTTATGCCATGACAGTTTTTTGCCTTTCATGCAGTTCGGGTAGGTTTGAACAAGTGGTACAATGTCGTTTTTTGTATTTTAGAGCTAACCAGTCAGCCTTTCCCTTTCATTTGCTAATCCAGTTATTTTGACTGATTGGTTTGCTAGACTTTCGAAACTGCTATCAGATGATGGCTCACACGGATTCGCGCAACTTGATTTCTCCGGTTCTGCCACGAACTCGCCGGCCAAGAGCGACACAATGTCGCCAAGTTTGACTCGAAGACCCGTTATTGGTGCAGCCGCTCTCCTCAGCCCACAGCGTTTTAGCATGTCCATGGATCTTCCCTCACCTGCTGGCCTGAAGACTAATCGTTATTCAGTCGCTTCTACCGGGTCACCATCGTCGTCGACAGGCCGTCAGCTCTTTTCATCCCCTACCCGACCTTCGTTACCTGCGGAAAAGGCTGCAGATTCCCCTAATCGGAAAACGTCGACTGAACTTACTGGAGATAATAAAGTGAAGCCTAAATCCCCTAGACTTATGCCTCCACAGACCCCCACCAAGGAAGTTTCAGTTCCACCGGCTCCAGCTCCAACAAGTGAACCAGCTAGTGCCGCGGCACTTGAATCTGAACCGTCTTGGTCTCTTCGTCCCCGCAAACGTTCTTCACGCCAATCTTCTGGTAAGGAGGACTCTGGTGATAGTCGATCAAAGGCTCCCGCTAGCGGATCCGTTGCTCCGGTCAGTTGCGGGTCTTTGGTGTTCTTTCTGCAGTGGCTTTACGTCTCGTTTGAATTTAACACTTAGTTCGATTAATCGCCGTAACATTCTTTATAATTGCTCTTTTTATTGTTGCCTTTTTCACCTCGACCACACTGAACGATGCAAAAAGCCAGACTGTGGAGAAAAACTCGTTTCTGTCAACGCGTTTTTATTCTTTTAATAATGTTTCCTGCTTTCCCTAGTATTTATATCCACTCGTCTTCTAAAAGTCCCATATCTAATTGTGCGCGTTTTAACAGGAGCCCAGATGTAAGTCCGCTTCAACTAGGTAAGCGGATTCCGCCTCAGGTGCTTTGCCATCGAGAAAGTGTCCAGTAATGCAATGCTTGACCTTAAGATAGGTGTGCCGATGTGCTCTGTTTGCCCGGAAGAGCCTTTACGACTTCGTATGGTGTTTACCTTAACTATTCTGGGCCAAAAGCATCTGGCTATTCATGTGCTAAAGTAGGCTTTCTATTAGAAATCTGGGTAAATGTTATTCACAAGGCTGGCGAGCCCGAGTTTATCTTCACACCCTATCAGTAAATGGCTGTTAGTTAACATTTGTCTACTTATCTCAGCCCGTATTCCGTTCTAAATAGTTACTTTGCTTTCCAGCCTCCCTTCGAACCCATCATCACAACCCGTCGCCAATCAGCCAGCTCTTTGCGTTCGTCCGAGGCAGGTAGGCCTAGGCGTACCACGAAGCGGTCATCGTAACTCTTGTCGTCGAAGTGACCACCACCTTTCTTTTTACCTTGCCTCCGTACATGAGGCCAGGGCTCCCTGTGCAGGTCCTGCACAAGGGCAGGCTTGGCTCTGTATTCTTTTTTTCCTTGCTTATTCCTAAATTCTTGAATGTTGCTATAACTGACTTTGCAAAAAATTATTTGTAACA